CGAAACTCAGCATGGTCGATTACCCATAGCGCATACGTCTTTAAGACTACCCATGGTCACCGAGTGCCAGTGCTGGGACTCATAGGAAATCTGATACAACGCCCGAACCGCGGAAAATCAAGGTCTCACTTTACCCCCATTTTGAAGAGGACATCCCAGGCTATCAGTCCATGAGAAAAAAGCAATCCAATCCTATTGGAAAATGTTTACAGACGGCATAGTTTCCAAAGATCTCTTAGAAAACCTGTTTCGGAAAACTGTTATGGAAATATTCCCCCACGTTTCATCTTTCCACTGGTGAAAATCAGAGCTCTCTAGCTCTTTTCTATCAAAAGATATTCAAAACACAATCAAGTGCACGGTGTTTTGACGCCGATAATAGAAAAATGTTTTTCAAATCTGCAAAACAAAGTAGTGGTAGTTTGCTAACCCGTGTTTTGTGATACTCCAAGATACACACTATCGATAGCTGATAAGAAAAAAACTAGGTGTTTACCTCTTGTTTCAGTTAAATTTTTTCACAAAAACGGTACTATTTTGATCAGAATCACTCATATATACTCACCTTCAAAATATGCACTTCATTATAGATCTTCTAAAACACATTTTACATGTGAATTTCTCTGCAAACTTTGGATTTGAAAAGCGGTTGTTTTCTTTCGTGCATTACACTACCGAGGCAAAAGAAAAAAAGTAATTATTAGAATATGCCGAGATGGGTAAAATTCAAGGAAATGAAACGTTCTTCCAATTCCATAAAAGTTTTAATTAGCTGTACAATCTTTTCAAAACATAAACTCTTCGAACTTCATGCACAAATATTAGTTTAAATCAGCATAGCGACATGTAAAACAAGAAAACGAGAAAAAAGATGTCGTTAGTGGTCATAATTTATTTTTTGTCCTTGTTCGTCTAAGAAAAATAGGACGTAAACAGACCAACTATATCTTAAGTATAAAAGCTTCTCGAGCTATTGAGAAAACAGTCACACGCACGGACTATTTTGATGGAACACCTACTGCAGAGCTCCAACAATGGGATTACTTAGTACCCTGGAGATCAAAATTTTGGATCAAAAAGTAGTCCGTGACCTTGATTTAAACGCATTTATTAGTAGACCAATCGGCAAATGGCATTGTAGGTCCACGATTCTCATATGAGGAAGATGTGTGAGCAAATTAAAAAAAACCAATAAAGATAAAAAAAAAGCATAAATAGAAATTTAAAAAGAAAATGGAACAAATATGTGAGATGATCTAAATGCAAGTGAGTAAGTGTCTGTGAATAGGAAGAACAGAAAAATGGAAGATGTCATGTGCGGTGAGGAAAACACTGATAATACAGTAAATAGTAATTCGTCAGGTATGCCGAAATCTGTTTGTCTCATGAATAAACTCACATACGGCGTTATGTAGTTTATACAAATCCGTAATCGATACTTGTCGAAGAGAAGAATCATGAAGCAGAAGATGGTTGATAGTAACAGGAGGGTTCAAAAATATTTCTTTTAGTTGTTGCAGTAATCTGACACGTGGAATACTATATCGTTTACAAACAAAAAAAATAATGCGCTATTGTATCTCGCATACTACAAGGACAGAGAGCATTTTGTACTAAATTGCGGATGAAGAGGTCACTGTTTAATTGAGAAAAATCAGTTCTCAGTCTGGCGAAATGTATATCTATCAAATGGTTGGTTTGTAATGGTATTCTCGGGGAAAACATATTGTCCGAATCTGTTAACAACTTTTTGAACTTTTTATGACTGGCACATACACGAATCTGTGAATCCAAGGCATTCCATAACCGTGTAGTTCCAGGTACGAATGTTCTTTCATACACGTCAAGTGCACGTAAGTCAACTGGCGACTTTTGCTGGCTAACAGACCTTGTGTTATATGGGTTTATAGTTTGATTGTCAGTCATCAAATTTCTAAAGAATATAGGGCTCAGACCACGAATAATCTTATGAAAAAAATGTATCTGTGTCGTTGAAAAATAGTGTGGATCGGTAGTCGTCTGCATCCTAAGTCAGCTAAGACGTTTTCCTTAGACGCACCCATAATAACCACAAGAGTTGACTGGTATTGAAGCATACTTAACCGAGCTAAGTTCTTTTCCGATGTTCCCGAGTATATAACAGAGGCATAGAGCAAAACAGATAGGACGAATGAGTTGTAAACTAAAGCAAGCGCTTGACGGGAAGTTATTCGACTAAGTAATTTCATAGATCCAATTATTTTGGAGCACTTGGCTACGATCATATCAATGTGGGAAGTCTAATCGAGGTCTGACGTAAAAACGAGCCCAAAGTGTGTATGGAAGTGCACCAATAAACAATGGAGGAATATGAGGCTTGTGACGATTAGTAAAGAACATATGAAAACATTTATTGAAATTAATAGGCAAAAGCCAGTCACACAACCATTTATGAATCACCGCCAAATCCGAGTTCATTCTAGCAGTAGCTTGCTGTATGTTTGATAATGAAACATCATCAGCGAATAATTTACACGTGCATTGAAGAGCATTGAGTAGCTCATCAATGTACAATAAAAATAAAAGCGGTCCTAATATAGAACCTTATGGTACTTCACAGATAACAAAAACTAAGATAGATTCAAAGCCATCAACACCTGTCATAATTTGTCGCCCTAACAGATAACTACGAAACCAATTTATAAGGGTTACTGGGAAACCGTTACTGTGTGGTTTCAACAGAAGTCCTTGGTGGTTTACCTTGTCAAAGGCTTTTGAAAAATCAATAAATGTAGCCATTGTCGGCTCACTTTTGGTAAAACCCATGGCAATATGATGAACTATCTCAACTAGTTGAGCAGTTGTGGAATGTTGAGGTAAAAAACTGGACTGGCTTTCACTAGTTAATTTATGTGAGAGCAAAAATTTAAGAATTCTATTGAAAACGAGACGCTACCTTCCCCTGGATGAAAGAGTATGCCATGCAAAGTTTGGCTGCACTGAGTCCTACAGGGTCCAAATGCATAAAGAACAAACAAACAAACATTCTTCTTTATATATTAAATATATGAGTGAATCGTAACTTTTTTGTACAATTGATAAAAAAAAATCAAAGTGTTTCCAAAGAAAATCTGATTCGTACATTTTGTTCCTTATCATTGAGTGAGTCTGTAGTAAAAATTTCCGCATTATCCGACTCGTTCTGATCGAGATATATGAGCATCAATTTTGGGTTTTCAACAAAAAACTTTTTAAAAGAAATTGCGCCGAATATGCGTCGAAAGCCCACGTATGCCATACCATTAGATAGATCTGACCTCGGATAATCTAATGGCACTCACAGCAATCGAAGTACGCCAAAAACAATCGCGAAAAATGTCAAAATACGCATTTCCCCTCGAAAAACTACATAAAAAAGCCGATTTTTCTGAGGTTACGTGTTTGGAGAGTCTAAAAAACTGCGGAATATTGTTATATATCATCGTCTTAAAGTTCTCAGTCTACTCTGTGCTCTTTCAAAGTCCAGAGCCTTATTTTGGACACCGAACTTAACCACATTGATTCAAGGTCATTTCGTTCACTACAGTTCTTGTTCATTTCTTATCATAAATATAAAAAGCAATAAAAACTACAGTTCTGAGCCAAGCTAGCTTCCAAGTAGTTCAGAATGAACATTATCAGACTCAGCACGTGGTCATGTTCGAAAGGTATATGATAGTAATGCTTTCCGTCGAAATCAGGTCGAAAATATATAAGCAGAAATTGGGTCTATATTCTGAGGTATATATTAAAATTTTTTTAAAAGTGTATTCCTTGCCCACTCTACGATCGTTTTAAACTGGGTCTACACTTTGTCCGTAAATCTGTTTTCATCAAATCGAACCAAAAAAAATAAACAAAAACAAGAGTGAATCATGTGGATGGATAGAGCATTAAATTCTGCACAAAACGTACTATTCGTCTGTTTTCTTTTCGCTTCTTTCGCTCCTTTAACAATCTCGTTTTCTATCGATGACTCATCGAAAAATATGGATTTTTGGACTTGTCACCCTCATATCTCAGCCGAATGATGAGTTATCGAGTTGAAATTTTTTATGGTAGCAGGAGATACATTAAGAAATGTGAGAAAAAAAAATATTTGATATCGGATCATAGGAACTAGAATTACAGGGGAAAAGGTTAAAATATTCAATTGTACAATAAAGTTACGATTCACTCATATATATTAGAGAATCACAAAATTATAGTACCGTTATATTCTTATACGTAAAATTTCTATATCTCTAGTACTTTTCAATCAATATTAATTTGTTACAGCGCGATGTTTTAAGTGGTTTCCTTATGTTTCATGTATAAACATGGTATTCTGACTTGTAAACAATGTGCAACTGTCAGATGACCAAGTAATAGATAAAAGTCAAACGTTGGTTTCGAAAATAGAAAGTTCAGAGAGATTTTGTATTTTCCTAGAAAATATTCGAATTGTGATATCAAACACATTTTTCTAGGAAAGTTTATAGAAATTCGTCGGTGATTTTTTAATAGCTGAAACATCAAAATTGATCTTTCTATTTTTTTGAATATTACTTTTTCGAGAAAATAGAACTTTGTTAACGAATTCATATAGACGTTCCTGCAATATTCTTTTCTGTTCATCATAATATTTATTTTTTTATTTTCAATATGTCCAATAGATATCGTTTTTTTATGATTATTTACGAAATCCAATTTTGATCTTTTTCTGCGATTTGTTTTATGGAAAAACCTAAAAATGGTATGCATTTTTATGACAACAGTTCTGATTAGAAAATATCTATATACAAAAACATGACCAGATTTAAGTAAAACAAACATTAATAACATAAAATATATTCACAATTGAATAATATAAATTTAAAACTATATTTTATGATGGATAAAAGAATCACGATAAGTGAATGTGTCACCGGTTACATTATATTCAAAAAACGGATAAAAATGTTTTGTTTTTTTTTCAGTACAATGACCTTTTTAGTTAGATATTATGAAATGCGCAATATTGATTTCATAATTGGTACTAATTCGTTAATATCGTCTGGTGATAATGTTCGCAATATATTATTTCGCATTTCTTCATGAATTGTTTGCCATGCGATAACATGTACGATGAGTTCACTAAATAAACAAATTGCTTTTTCATAACCATGCATTGTTTCCATGTATTTCCACAATAATTCTGTATAATAATTTTGTGCACGATATACAGACATTTTATCATTAAGTATTGATTCATCATGATCACTAGTTATTGAAAAACCTTCTGTAAGAATAAGTATAATAACTGTTAATTCAATTATTTTTCGATCATATTTAGCTATATGTAAAAATGAACGAAAGATCTTTCCTGCTTGCATACACATATTATAACCATGAAGTATTTGAAAATATTCTGTATTTGATGGTACATCAGAATCACTTTCAAGTATTTCATGAGTGTCTGTATTATATGAAAGTGCACAGTTTATACCAAGAATTGTCATAAGATTATATTTAATTAAAGTAACTTTATCATCAACATTTAATTGATTAAATTCAGGTATTTGTTTGAAGAATGATAAAAGTCGCATGACTTGTACTGAATGACTATTGACAACTTGTAAAAAAGTTCTTGTATGTATTGATGGATCCCATGGAAGACCATCACGAGCCGCTAAAATACAGACATAGTAAGATGAAAAGAAAAAAGATCAACAGAAATATTTATTTACCAAACTTGATACGATTTTGATAAAAAAGTGATATAGTTTCTACACGTTGTAAATCTTCCGGACTGAGTATTGTCTGTAGTGGCTGAGGCGATAGAAGATCGATAAAATCTGTAAAAAGAATATTTGTGTCTGTCGATGTACATAACTGAAAATAATATAAGAGTAGATAAATGAAATCATGTTTTATTATTTAAATATTCTTACATCATCTGAAAATTTGGATAATGACAATTGAAATTCTTCTTCATTTGTTTTAGAATTTGAGTTTAATGCTAAATTTCGATTTTCTTCTATATGATGACGTTTTGCTGCTTTTTGTTCATCCTAGAAGTTAGTTTTATGAAAGATCTTTCTTTTGTTTTTTATTTTATTTTATAGATACCGTTAAAAGTCGATCATGTCGCATTCCTGTCTTAAAACATTTGGCTAAACGACAGGCCGAACAATCACGGCGTGTTTCAAATGTTATTTGACAATCACCTTTGTTATTACAATGGAAAACATTCTAGATGGAAAAAAACATTATTATTTCGGTGACCATCAGAAACATATAGAAAACAGATGAATTATATGTCATCTGTACTGTTATGATTTGAAGTATAAAATTAAATGCAATAAATAGATTCTTTCTTTACGTTTTTATCAAGGGTGAAAATCAAATCAAATTTGTGAACAAGGTTCTCACGGAATACTTTTCAAACATCTTTCCATTTGAGAAAAGTTTCGAGTCTGCTGATTCTCATTCTTCTATCTATAATTTTTGTTCCTAATTTGTGACTTGTTTTTAAGCATTGAATCGAAAAAAGTTTTCATGTTTCTGAGAATAAAAAAAAATCTGTAGAAATTTCAAATCTTAATTAATTCTTAATATTCATATGAAGTCGAAATAGATTTGGCTGGAGTTTTTATGCAGACGAGTTGAAGAAAAATCTTTTTTGCAAGTTACTTATTAGCATAAGGACATGACTAATTCGAAAATATCTCTTCTCAGGTCTTTTCCGTTACCGAGATAAGAGGC